CTTCATCCCTACACCTACTAGTGTTTACATAAAGGGCATTGAAAGTGACATCAGGACTCATAGTTGACCTGTGTAAAATCAGAGGATGAGCTTCAGACTCCGCGGATATCCCTGGCTTGAGTGAAAACAAAACAAAACAAAAAACAAACAAACAAAAACACCAGCATGGGTAAGGGAACGCCTGAGACTAGGATATGAAAAGGCCCAAGGACGTTTGGAGAAATCATGGGCTTTAGAAGGATGCTTTCTAGAAAAGGCGAGTGACCAGAGGGTCCTGTGCCCACAGGTGGATAGGTTACGGACTGGAGGCTGCTAAGGGAAGGATTACACCAGTGAGACCTCCTTAGGCAGACATCTCATGGCAGCAGACCCCTCCTGAGTCCTCCCTGCCGTTTTGTCGGGAGACCAGACAGGGCTGGTCTTCGTTCTGGAAAGGGCTCTTTACTAGAACGGGCCTAAGCACATTCCTCCTCTCTGAGGTGAGGGTAATTGTCTCTGTCTTGTAGAGCAGAAAGCAAGCTTTTTGTTAGGATGAATGTTGTTTGCCAGCCTTCTTGAGTCCAGAGGATTACAATACTGTGTGGGATTGGACTAGACTGACCTTAGTCAGCTCCTCTCTCCTGCCCTCCCCAGCCCTTGCTTCTCGTCATAGCAAGCCTGAGTTGTCTGGCTGGCTAAAGCTCTCTCTCCTCATTTTCTTTCCTCTGTGTTCTCTGACCTTAGTCAGCTCCTCTCTCCTGCCCTCCCCAGCCCTTGCTTCTCGCCATAGCAAGCCTGAGTTGTCTGGCTGGCTAAAGCTCTCTCATTTTCTTTCCTCTGTGTTCCAGTGGACGATGGAAATGTGCTGCCACCTCGTGGCCGAGTCTGAGCATAGCTCCTTAGCCAGATCTCAAACACTCAAACTAATGCTCTACCCCTACCCTTGTAAGACATAGATAGTTGAAAGGCTTATAGCTCCTTAGCCAGATCTCAAACACTCAAACTAATGCTCTACCCCTACATAGATAGTTGAAAGGCTTACTCACGTTTTGAGAGTCTATAATCTGAAAGAACGTTAGGGGCAGATGAACCCTCTAGACGCTCTCTTGGGCTTGAAGGCCTGGATCACTTGGTGTGGGTCAGGATATGATAGCCAGGGTGTGGGCGCCAAGGATGGAGCAGTTTCCTTTCCAGAGCAGGATTTCCTGCAACTCCGATTTCAGGAACCTTGACTTGGGTTTCTGGGCCTCATCGATACCTCTCACTTTCACTGACACCTAGCAAGCTCTGCACATTGACTCCCAGGCCCTGTAAATTGAAGGGGCCTTGACCTAGTCCTAAGAAGATCCCGGGAGCTTAGAGCAGTGCCTGTGGGAACCTTCCCGAAGGATTTAGCATCTTCCCTATAACCGACAGAGACCGGAAGGGGAGCATGTTAGAGGAAGGGGGAAGGAGAAGGCAGCTTCAGGGATGACGAGCGCTGGTTCCTTCTGAGGTCTTGCTGTTCACTGGCACACAGAAAGATCTGGAAATGTCTAAGGCTTTGGGGGAAGTGGTAATGGTGTCAAGAGGAAGTGAGTAGATGGATTTTATGCACGCATGCCCACATCGAGTCAGTGAGAGCTCTGAGCAGTGGTTTCCACCATCCGGCTGCCTGACATCCTGTCTTGGCTCTGGGTTGGACCAGTTCTGGGTTCCGGTGGTCTCCGGCTACTGCACCTTGCTGTTAAAGGCTGGCAACTGAAGTTCTCTAGGCTTTTCTGAGACACTACGAAAGAGCCATGAGTCTTCTCACCCTGGACAGCCTTCTCAAGATGTATGCAACCCGTGACTGACTGTGCTCTGTTGCTCCCGGCCAGAGCTTGGAATGCCTTTTCCTGGATTCCCGTCACTTCTTTAGAGTAGTGATTCTCCAGCCCATTCTTATTTCCCTCGAAGTGATCAGGCTATTCCAGTAGAACTGAAAATCACAATGGCTCTCTTTTTAGATGGGGAAGAATGGCAGGGTGATAATGAGCCCCAGTTCACTTACTCTTCAATTCCCTGTCTAAAACTGACTTTTTGGTCTTCGGTGTGACCCAGAGCTTCACCAGGGGCCTGCTTCTGTGGCCCTTTTTCTGGTCCTACCATCTCTTCCTGACTCAGAGAAGACACTGAATCCTCTTGTGATCTTGGTGGCCTAGACACCTACATTTTGTAATACTAGTTTCTTCCTAATATTGATCATATAGCGACAGCAAAATGAGAGGCTCCTGGCACTCGTGACAGTTTCATATTGTGGTTGGTCATTTGCTTCTCCACTTTCTGAGGGCTACCATTCAGAACATAGGTTCTGAGGCAACCGTGTGGGTTTGAATGTCAGCTTGTCACTTCCTAACTGTGCTCTCTGGGCCAAGTTATTTAACCTTTCTGAGGCTCTGTTTGTTCACCATTAATAAGCAGTGTCTCGCCCCAGAAGACAGTAAATGAGACTACAATAATGAGATGTTTACCTCCCTCCTCCAGCCCCCAGTAGCTGGTGTCCTGGAGAGTACCTAACAGGTCCTAGCTGAGGGTTTCTGTCACTGTGTACCCAGTGACAGGCTTCTGCCACCTGGCTTGCTAAGAAGTGTCTCTAACCATTCATGTAGCAATAGTGTGAGGCTTCCTGCCAGGCACTGTGGTACAGAAATGAAAAGTTCTGGTCTGGTCTCAGGAAACTACAGGGTTATAGGGTAGGGTTGGTGGGGAGCCAGCTGTGAAGGCAGCATGGTGGGACCTGCATGAGAGAGAGGTGGTGTAAAAGTTTCCTTCAAGGCCTTGCTGGAGGACTGTCTTGAAGGGAGACTTTTTATTTTCCTAAGTGGGCCAAGAAAGAGGCCCTCCAGCTAGACCAAAAGAGAGAGTGAAAGGGAATGACCAAGCCATGAATTGCTGTTGTGTGGCTTCTGTCATCTGGGAGAGAAGCAGATGGCAGGAGCCCGCAGAGGCTGAACCCTGGGACTTGGAATGAAAGCAATTTCAAGGAGCCAGGACTTGATCACATAGGATGGGAGGTAATGGGCCCATGAGTACCAGTGAGGGAAGAGGTTTGTTGTCTATCCTGGTCTCTCTGTCTCCTTTCCCAGATTGCCTTTTGGATTTCAATCTCTAGTGAACAGACAGCCCAGTCATAGGCCAAGCATGATGCTTGTGTATTCAGAAAACAGGAAGGGCTTTTGTCCTTCAAGGAAGCACCCAAGGCATTGCAGAGGCCTCTGGGATAATGTTTCTAGGTAGGACGAGGTGCCTAAGTTTGTGGCCGTATGTGTGCCCTCTGTCCCTCTTCACTTGGGGAGTTGGTCTTTCACAGATTGTGTGGTCTTAGACTCAGGCCGTCCCATTGACTTCCCCAACCCAGTGGAAATGAATTGGTTTCAAAAGAACTCAGGTTCTGTAAGAGAACGAAAGGAGGAGGGGATAACATGAAAGCACAGATAGACAGGTTTTCAGATCCACCTGTCTTTAACTATGTCCTTTAACTGTATCTTTAACTATGTCCTTTTACTTCCAGTGGGCTAGAACTATGTTCCTGGCCGCTGCCACCCTCCTCACTTCTTTCATCTTAAAAAAAAATTATTGTATGTGTATGGATGTTTTAACTTTCATGTATGTCTGTGCACGGCATGTATGAAGTGTCTTTGGAGGACAGAAGAGGGTGTCTGAACCCCTGAAACTGCAGTTACAGATGGTTGTGAGCTAACATCTGGGTGCTGGAAATTGAACCAGGGTCTTAATGGTTGAACCATCTCTTCAGCCTGTCCACTCAGCTTTTGTTGTAACAAAATGTGGACTGCCATCTTGTTTCTGTTGTTGTTAATATAGCAGCTGCTCATTGGTGACCAACAAACCTTAGAGATGAAAGTCTGATTTCTACCAGCTCCATTCTCCATACTCACCCCTAAAGCTGGACTTCAGCCATGCCTGGAGATGCTGAACCTCTCCAGAAAGATGCCCTTGGGTGTACAATTGCCACAGTACCCAGGCAGTGTGAACCACCCTATGCCCAGGAAGGTGTTTCTCTCACATGAGGTTGCTTTGTGTACTGAGTGGCAAAGGATGGAGTTTTGTTTTTGTTTTTGTGGGTTTTTTTTCCAGTAACTAACCAAGCAAGATTCAGATTGATTTTGGTAAAAAAAAAAAAAAAAAAAAAAGGCTTTTTCTTGCCACTTGATAGAAATTGTTCTCAGTAACTTCCTCCAATGAAGGAGAGATAAGGAAAGCAGTTACAGCAGAAGTAAGACCAAGGGCCACAAGACAGGCTGTTGAAACCTTCCAAACAAAAATAAAAAGCCAAGCCAAATGAAAACAACAACAACAACAAAAGCCAACCACCTTGAACATTGGGGCTGGAGAGATGGCTCGGTGGTTTAAGTGTGTCTGCTGCTATTGCAGAGGGAGACTTGATGCCCTCTTCTGGCCTCCATGGGCACCTGCACACATATGTGCATACACACAGACACATATATACAAACATACCTATATCTGTATATATGTATACACATATGTGTGTGTGTGTGTGTGTGTGTGTGTGTGTGTGTGTGTGTGTACAAATTGTTTTGAGTCTGTCCTTCACTGATCTGGGCTCTGTAGGTAGACCTGGATGACCTCGAACTCCTGGTGACTGCCTGCCTCTGATTCCCCAGTGCTGGAATTAAAGGTATGTGCTGTCACCGCTTTGTTTGTCACAAGAAAGTCCTTTGTCACTCTGTGCTAATTAGGCAGAGGGAGGAAATACTACCTATTTAGTGTTTCCATTTCTTCTTCTACCCAATCCTATCCCTACACTCATCTGGTCCCTGATTCCATCTGGTTCTCTCTCTCTCTCTCTCTCTCTCTCTCTCTCTCTCTCTCTCTGTGTGTGTGTGTGTGTGTATGTGTGTGTGTGTGTGTGTATGTGTGTTGTGATGGGGTGGTACCCAGGCTCTGATGCATGCTAGGCAATCATTCTAATACTGAAATATATCTCTAGCTCCCCACACCCTCATTTGAGATTTTTTTTTCTTTTTTTTAGAAATGTCTGTTAAGTTACTTAGGCTGGCATTAACCCCACTGTGTAACTGAAACAGGCCTTGAACCTGTGATCTCCCTGCCTTAGCTTTCCATGTAGCTGAGAGCATCAGCTTTCACTACCCGACTCTCATCTTCTCTTTGAGCTGTCTGCATGCGACTCATGCCAGCTTCCCAGGTTCTTCCTACCTTTTTTTTTTTTTTTTCTTTTCTGAGGGTTCCTGGCCCTGTACTTCCTCTTGGTCTATCTCACTTCTTGAAACACTATAAAGAGGGGTGCTTATCTTGATGGAGCTTGAAAAGCCCTCTGAGGGGGGCAGGGAAGTCAGAAGGCTTGACTGTGTGTTTGGGGAAGCAAGAACAGCAGCACTCCAGATTGAGATGCACAGAGCTGCATCCTCCAGGTTACTGGGAGACCAAAGATGTGTGGCTGAAGCTGGTGGTCCTGTAACAGGCCCTTTTTGAGAAGAGTCTCCAAGAGAGCATCACACTGGAAGGGAAGAGTGAGTTGTGAGTTCTCGACCACTGCTACATGCAGACTTCTGGGCAGATGTCTGGCACGAGCTAGGTCCACCAGCCCATACACCTCCTGCTGACAAACCTGTCCCGAGAAGCTTCTCCGAGACATCATGAAACCTGACAATACCACAACTGCGCTGTGGTTGAAGATCACCTACATCTCCATGGAGGTTGTCATCGGGCTCTGTGCTGTAGTGGGCAACATGCTGGTCATCTGGGTAGTTAAGCTGAATCCCAGTCTGAGGACCACCACCTTCTATTTCATAGTCTCCCTAGCACTGGCTGACATTGCTGTTGGGGTGCTGGTCATGCCTTTGGCTATTGCTGTCAGCCTGGAAGTGGAGATGCACTTCTATGTCTGCCTTTTCATGTCCTGCGTGCTTCTGATCTTCACCCACGCCTCCATCATGTCCTTGCTGGCCATTGCCATAGACCGATACCTGCGGGTCAAGCTGACAGTCAGGTAACCTGCTTGAAGAAGGGTGGGGCAGCAGTGTGTGAGAGAGGTAGAAAATAGAGCTTACCAAGTTTGACTCTTAGACCTACTCAGTAGAAATAAACCAAAACTGGCCGTTGATGTTTACAAAGGGCAGTAGATATCTTTGCACCATATGGTTTGTGAGGAGGTTAGACATGAAGACTCAGGAATAGGGAACAGGCACTCTGAGGTCTTCTCCAAAGACCATGGGTATCTGCTACTGTCTAGAGCAGCCCAAGATGATGAAAGTCTGATGTATCTTTGGTTTTTAAAAATCTGATCTCGTTTTCAAAATGGTAGGGCCTAGTAGATAGGATATCTTGTTTTACGAGAAATAGAAAGATAAGTGTAATAAGAGATAAGCAGCTGGCTGTGTGACTTTGCAGACGTAGGTTGGATTTTAACGTTGCTTCTGTCTGAATCTGTCCTAATGTTGAATGAAGATTCTAAAAATGTTTATTTTTGCCAGGTGGTGGTGGCTCACACCTTTAACCCCACCACTCAGGAGGCAGAGGCAGGCAGATCTCTTGTGAGTTCAAGGCCAGCCTGGTCCAGAAAGTGAGTTACAAGACAGCTAGAGCTACAAAGCGAACCCTATCTTAGAAAATGGAAAAAAAATGTATATTTTCCTCTTTTTAAAAATAAAGTGTAAAGCACTTGTGAGACAAAGATATTTTTGCAATATGTGCAAAAATACTGTGCAAAATGGTAGCATCTTTTCCTGTGACCATGCAAAAAGAACAGACAGTCCAATGAAAAATCACATTTCTTGGCTCCTTCCGGTGTCTCTTAGGTAAAGAGCATGGCGAGGAAACTACAAACAAGCTAGAAAACAAGTCTGGGTTCTTGTCCCTGGTCTTGTGATCTGGCACTGGGAATGTTATTTAGCTTTCTCTGCTTCAGTCTCCATATCTGAGTGGTTCCGAGCATCTGAACCAGGATTACCTTATTTTAATTGTAGCCCTACAACTTCTGGCTTCTATATGTTACCTAAAGCCCTTTTACATTATTTTTTAGATCTATAAAATGAAGATAATTTCATCTTTATAAGGTTTAGTCAATCAAGTTAGTCAATCAAAAGTTCTCAGAAAAATCCTGCTACAGAGTCTGTGTTCAACAATGCCACTGCCATCGGTAAAATAGCGATTATCATAAAGATGTCTCTTGTTAGCTATGAGGTTTAGTTAAATATCAGTTTCTTTCTTTTGTAGTTTGTTTTAGGTTATTTAGGAAGTACGGTTTAAGGAGAAATTATGACTCCCCAGAATGAACTTATTAAGGCTCTGAAACACTTAGGCATAACCTTAAGAAAACACAGATCGATTAACTCCAAGAGCAGAATAGATGACCATGTGGAAGAGGGGGCGGGTCACAGGTACAGAGAAATGTAGAGGTGTAGTGGAACTTATGACCAAAGCAGTGCAGAGCACCGCCCACCAGCAAGCCTTGGGGAGGTTCTCATCAGCTTAGGGGATCCCAAGACAGGTAACTCTTACATGGCAGGACAGGAAGGTGCTGCTGGCCCGATGGCTCAATAGAGAAAAGCACTTGCTATTTTGGCAGGGGATTCAGGTTCCATTCCAGCACCCAGCACTTGTCTGTAATTCTAGTTCCAGGAGATCCAATGCTTTCTTCTCACCACCCTCGGCACCAGGCATGCACACATACATGCAAACAAAACATTCATACACATAAAATAAAATTAATCTTTTAAAAAAAAAAAGAATTTTTGGAGCCACGATTGAATGGAGGCAAGGAGGCACCTGATTCTTGGAAACATATTGCTGATCATTCTAGATTGTTGTTGTTGTTGTTTTTAGTACCACCTTACACTATGGGCGTTTCATCTTTCAGCAGAAGGTTAGGGAATTGAAGAGCTTACTTACTCTGCCTCCCTTCCCCTCAACTAATCGTTTCCTTTTGTGACCTCACCAACTTTTTTCCATTCAAACAGATATAGGACAGTCACTACTCAGAGAAGAATATGGTTATCCCTGGGCCTTTGCTGGCTATTATCCTTCCTGGTTGGGCTGACCCCCATGTTTGGCTGGAATAAAAAAATGACCTCAGGGCTCTCCCCCAATAGTACCACGCTTTCGTGCCATTTTCGTTCGGTCGTGCCTCTGGATTACATGGTCTTCTTCAGTTTCATCACCTGGATCCTCATCCCCCTCATTGTCATGTGCATCATCTACCTGGACATCTTCTACATCCTCCGCAACAAACTCAGTCAGAACTTGTCTGGCTTCAGAGAGACTCGGGCATTTTATGGACGGGAGTTCAAGACAGCAAAGTCCCTGTTTCTGGTTCTCTTCTTGTTCGCTTTGTGCTGGTTGCCTTTGTCCATCAACAACTTGGTGTCCTACTTTAACGTCGATATACCAGAGCCTGCAATGTGCCTGGGGATCCTGCTGTCCCATGCCAACTCCATGATGAACCCTATTGTCTACGCCTGCAAAATAAAAAAGTTCAAGGAAACCTACTTTGTGATCCTCAAAGCTTGTAGGGTCTGTCAGACCTCGGTTTCCTTGGACTCAAATATTGAACAGACTACTGACTAGCTACCATGACACATAAAGAGCTATCTCACCAACGTTCGTGTTTAGCACTAGCAAACACCAAAGGCCTTATCAGA